GTAGGTTTCCGGACGGAGCAATTCTTTGAATCCACAAATTGTTGTTTCGGGTCTGGGTGTCATTGTGTATGTGAAATTGTATGTTTGTAAACGCACCCACGACACAGAAGAAAATCTAAGTGTAGGACAAAGCTTAAAAAAAATATTGTACGTACACGACATGATATAGCAAAGTCAGGTACTATTTTCTTTTAAGGGGGTTAAATCATCGAATGCCTTTAGTGTCATACTCTTACTGACTAAAAGCCACCCCGTTCCTTCTCCTGCACGTCGAGCCAGAGCCCCGGTAACCCGTTAGGTTCTCCGCGACACCTATAGGTACTATAAGATGCAAATATTTTATTAATATTTAAGTACACAACCTCATTGCTTACTCACTGTTCACCTATCATTCATGTACCTATCTTCAGGTATAAATTACCACGTAGGTAAATTCTTGGTCGTATAATTGCTTTGTAGGGCCCACAAGAGCCACAAATAGGTCACCATAGTGCTTATAGGCGGGCAGTAAGTATAGGTATAGAGTATAGACATCTACCTGCACTGTTTTGCGGTCGGTGTAATTTGAGCGGCAAAATATCTAAACAGTCATAACGTTAATGACAAGATAAACATAACGTGATTTATTTACCTAAATGTACAGAGACCTTAGTACGAGTTAGTTGTACATTTAAAATATTCGAAACGAGTATGCGTTCGGCACTCTGATTGGCCGTCGGCAATAAACCAACCAATCAGAGCGCCGAACGAGGTCTCGTTTCGATTACTTTAAACGTAAGACAAACTTGTACTAAGGCCTCTGTTATAGGATACTTATTGTGTTTTGTCGATGCGAGTATAGTCTAAGTCTAAGTGGTCATTATACTGCAGCTTCCAACCAAGGACGCCGGATTCGATTCCCAAATCGGGCAAAATATGATTGAGGTTTTTCGATTTATTCACATTTTCTTAACTCGTAGAGTACCGGTTTTGCAGACACAATTATAGAACAATAGGTTGCGGTCACCGGTGACCGCTTGGTGTTTGACAGTTTAAAACAGTAAACAAACAAGCTCTTTACCTTTAATAATGGCATATATAGTATGTTTGCCTTAATATGGTGTATGGTAACAATAACCGGCCCAATCCCCGTAACAAAGAACTCTCAATAACTGAAAGTAAAAAATGTAATTGGAATATGTTGATAGGTTATTTGTATAGGTTGATTGTAGGCTTATTGCATACTAGCTGTGCTGTTGGCCGCGACTTCCTCCGCGTAAAATATGAATTTTAGAACATAACTTTTTTTGTTTTAAATTTTCAAAATAAAAGTAGCCTATGTTACTCCTTAGTACATCCTCCAATAAAAGTATCGTCAAAATCGGTCCAGCCATGCCAGAGAATAGACAGTATAAACAAAAATTTAAAAAATATTATTTTGGACTGCCTCGTTGGCCGAGTGGTCGCGAGTGCGACTGCCGGGCAAGGGGTCTCTGGTTCGATTCCCGGGTCGGGCAAAGTATTACTGGGTTTTTAAAAAATTCTCAGTCTGGAAATGTGCCCGGTATATGGCAATAGGCTCACCCCCTATTACATGGGACTCATAACATAAATTGTGAAAAGTGGGTGTTACTTCTGTGTGCACCTCTGCCTATCCCTTCGGGGTTAAAAGGCGTGATGTTATGTTATTATTTTGGTATGTGTATCGTATCTATATTCATATGCATGTAGTAAAAAGCGATTATTTTAGTATTACAAACACACAGTCCAATTTTATTTATGTTTAAATGGTACAATTATCCCTACTTCTTCAAGGATTAAAAAGACGTTAATATAAAAACTTAAGCCCCTAACATAAAAAGAAGGAAAAGGAAAACACAATCTTAAAAACATATTTACAATTTATTTACTCAAACATAATAAAATCAAATTCAATCAAAAACAATCTTTTTACCTTCAAACGGTAAAATACCTGACTTCTTTTTCTTGGCTTCCCAAGAAGGATGTAATTTTTCTTGTTTATCGTCTCTATTAAAACCTGGTTTAGTATTGAAATCATTATTATTAAAAGACTTGATATTATCAAATTTGTTCCCACCATTAAAGTTCTTTTTATCGTTAAAATTCCTTCTATCAAACTGCTGTTTGTCATCAAATTTTCTTTTATGACCCCTAACATTATCATTTCCATTAAATCTATCATTGTTATAATTATTTTGTCTAGGTCTTCTTGTTGGAACATGTCCAAACATGGCCGCTCTTCTCATTTTCCTGTTGCCCCTCATATGTTCTTCTTTTACTTCATCTGGTGCTCTACGATCTGCTACAGACATATAATTCTCTCCCGTCGCCGTTATAAAGAATGGATCTACTGTTTTATTCTCAGCTACAGGAGCATTCATATTCTTTTGCAACTTCTTTTGAAGTATTTTCTCATTAAAATTCTTTGTTTTGTTCAATTCTTTTCGTTTCTTTGCTGGATCCTTTTTGCTAGCCTTAATTCTAGACTTAATTTCTACTGGTTCTATTGTCTTTTTATCAACTATTTCTAGTTTTTCTTCCTTAGATTTAACATTGACTTGTGCCTGTTTGACTATTTTAGGATTAGGTTTGATAGGTTTACTAACTTCCTTAATGACTTCTTGCTCGTTTTCTTCATTACCATCAGAATCACTAGCATCTTCGTCATTACCGTCAGAATCAATACCTTCATTTTCATTACCATCCGAATCATTATCATCTTCATCATTGCCATCCGAAACATTATTTGCCTCTACACTAGCATCTGAATCATTATTTTCCACTGCATTATCTTCAGAATCATCATCTGACACACGATCTCCAACTGAATGATTACTTTCATCACCAGATACATCGTTATCATCATTTTCGTCATCAGACATATAATTTCCTTCATCATCTGAATCATTTCCCTCATCATCACTTATTTTGCTATCACCTTTTACATCCTCAACATCCCAATCTCCTTCTGAATTAACAACATTTTTATTCTTTCCTTTCTTCTTATTCTTCTGCTTCTCTTTAGCTTCCTTCTTCATCTTCCTTCTTTCTAGTCTGGACATAAATAGGTCTTGGATGGGTACATTTGAGAACCTGCTCCTAATAAATTTGTACTTGTCCTGCAAGGCTTTATGGAGTAATAGTCGGGCACAGGCTTTCTCTTCATCAACTTGAGGTTTGTTTAAAAAAGTGTTCAATTCTCCTTTGTGTGTGACCATGAATTTCGCTAAGTCCTTGGCTTTGATTTTCTGTAATTTATAAAACAAATGTTATTTTAGAAAGGTACATATAAAAAATTGTAACTTATCTTGCTGGTTGCATAGTTCAATAGCCAAGCATGGAATCTTAAGTTTGTTTCCTGTGTTGGGTAAACAATGAGTTTTTTCTCTATGCAATAGAATTATAATAAATTGATTAACTAAATTAAATTGACTTGACTGCACATTTGGAGCGGTGGCTGGGCTACTGGCTGCCAAGCAACATAATTATAATAGGTTTTATTCTCGCACAAAGCAGTTTTTTGTGTGATTCACAAATTGTTGTTTCTGGTCTGGGTGTCATCTGTGTCACACATAATGTGTGTGAACTTGTATGTTTGTAAATTCACCCATGACACAGGAGAAAATCCGAGAATGGGATTACATAAAAAAAAAATAGTAACGGCTTATCTTACCTTTATAATTAGTACTTCTTTGACAGCAGACTCCGCTTTCCTTTTTAACTTTTCTTTTAGTTGTTCCGGAGCTTTCTTCTCTGTCAGCTGTTTAGCTTTTCTTGTCAACTTATGAATTATCTGTATTTTGGCCTGGTTTAGATTTTTTTTCAACAATATCACCTGGAATTCGAAAATTATATATGATTGTCAGTTTTAACGTTTAAAAAGGACAGTTATATAAACAAGTTTAGGTAAGATTGACTGTTATATGAAAAATAATATGACAACATAAAGTTGGTTGATAATATAGGGCATTACAAAGCGAACAGAATAAGAAAAATCGGTGTGAACTAGGAATTACATTTGTATAATGAAATAAGTTACTTTTTCAGGAGAATCACTAGGAAATAGTAAGAAATATTATTACCTCAGTATTGAAAGCTTGTTTTACTGCTCCAACTTCCATTTTTATTAATTATTTTGCTATTTCACAAGATATAGGTTAGGTTATGAATATATCGATTTTACAACTTCTAAAGGCTAGAGATGTCGTAACAAAATAGTATTAAAACAAGAATCAACTTTATAATACTTTCTCTTGTAATAAGGTGTAATTCATAGAATCAATTTACGACAACTTAATTTGATTCTAAAATGTGTCCACTGTCCACATCTCGTGTACCACGCACAACGTCCAAAATCATAACATGTCAACGTCAACGTCAACTTAATGATGACGTGATACTTGACAGTAATGTCAATAACATTACCAGTGAATTAAAAATAAATAATAAAAAATTGTATCTATAAATAGTAAATTGTTTTCACTATTCCGTGGTCAAAGTAGTATCGAAAAACCAACCAAATAAATACAACAAATAATTGTTGTGTCTCCTCCAAGGACGTTGAAAATAAAGTTTAACGTTCTTGGTCTAGTTTAATGAAACCTTGAAACTAATGATTTAAATCTAAAACTTCCAGAAATCTTTTTTTCAACGATGTTGTATCTTTTGAAAATCGTGAACATTTGTAATTCATGTTTAAACTCTACTATATAATACTGTATTTATACATATTGTTGTATATATTTAATTTAGTAATTTTTAGTTTTAATTTTATTCAATTCAAGTAATAGTTAGTTTTAATTTAAGTTTTTTTAATTAAAGCAACCAAAGAAACCTCGGTTGCCAACAAGAAGAAAAATTAGTACTTACATATATTTCGTTATATTTATTTATAATAATTTGGCCATGAAAATATTAATAAAGAATATTTCTTTTAAATCGTAAAAATAGCTTCATGTCATGTATTTAATTGATTGATCTTAATTCGACTAAATCTCTATGGTCATTAGTTCCACCATTCACTTTCTGGTCCACTACACTACTCATAAAAATAAAAGTTAATCAAATTCTTTCTGGTCGGATCTGTCAATCCGAAATGTACGTAAATTTTTATTAAAATAAATTCCAATAAAATCTATTTAATCTAGAGTATTTCACTTATTGTTATAGTGAATTAAGATCTATTATAATCTGAAGATAGTGCTGATGTGTTAATTTTGTTCTTACAGTTTGTGTGTTTTTATTTCAGCATGGCTCCTCGATTTGAGTTAGCGGTCGGTCTCCGAAAGGGACACAAAACACTTAAAATCTCCGCTGGCAAGAAAGGTGTTACTGACAAAGCCATCAAAATCAGGCCAGCCAGGCTAAAGGGTGTAAGTATTCAAAAATTTTATTAGACCAAACAAGTTCAGAGGTTATGTTTTGAATCTTGTTAGCATTGCGGAATCGTGTCAATCGAAATTGTTTTTATTTTTCTGTAACTTTTGAAACCCTGTTGTACTAGTTTATCACGTATATCAACAAATCTACAAGATTATATCCATGAAACCGAACTAATGCTGTATGCTTTGATACTTGAATCACTATGAACACATTGCAATCGATCACATCTTGAAGTAGTACTTGGTTATCTGTTGATCATAACCTTTTCACGATATTCTTTCAGCTCCAAACCAAGCACTCAAAATTCGTGCGCGATTTGGTCCGTGAGGTCGTTGGACACGCTCAGTATGAGAAGAGGGCTATGGAATTGTTGAAGGTGAGTCTTGTTTTGTTTTGGATAATAATCTTAGGAATATCAATGAACTAAATACGGGGTGAATACAGAAGAGTGAATAAATATTGAGAAAATGTTCAAATATTTATTCACCTCATTCCTGTGTATCTATTCACCCTGTTTTACGGAAGTTCAGTGTGGTATCTTTAGATGTAACAAGACCAATAATATGGATGTTTGGGATAAATGTCTGAATGAAGGAATAGGAGTGTAGGAATTTGTGCTCCTGCATTCCTTTTCCTTGTTTAAGTAGGAGCCAGTTAGAAATTAATCTTGTTGTTGAAATTTCCTTGAGTTTGTGGTCGAATAATATTAGTAACTGCAAAAAGTGCCACTACTACAGTATGGTTTAACTCATTGTTACTATGGTTTAACTCAAGAGTATGGTCATTATAGACACAATTAAATAATTAGAACAATAAGTTGCGGTCACCGTTGACCGCTTGGTGTTTGACATTGGTGAAATTGGCAAGGGCTCAGTGTTTATGGCAGAAAATTACTACATTAAATGCCATATGTGACCAGTCCAGATCAAAGAGAACATACTATTTGCTAACTATCATAGATAGATGTATTTTGTAATACCAGATAATAAAATCAATCAAAATACTGAACGGTAAAATGGGGTGAATAGGGATTGAGATGTGAATAGGGACAGAAGAGGGTTGAATTGATACTAAGAAAATTCCCAATATCTATTCACCCTCTATCACTATCCACTCCATTTTACAGTACAGTATCTCCCAAATACATTCAAAGTTAGATTAAGAATTAAGGAATTTATTGTGATTACATTTTTTTTCTGCAGGTGTCAAAAGACAAGCGTGCCCTGAAGTTCTTGAAGCGTCGTCTGGGCACACACATCCGTGCCAAGAGGAAGCGTGAAGAGCTGAGCAACGTACTGACACAGATGAGGAAGGCTGCCGCACAAGCACACCATGCCCCTACACACACTAAGTGAACAATAAACTAATTAATAGTATTTTCGTGGCTTTTATTCAGAATGATTAGTATGAGTGTTTAACGAGATTGAAAAGTCATGTTAAACACTGACTGGTTGGTTCATCATAATTATGATTTTTCTTAGACAGATCTAAGAAAAATCATACTATGAACCGACCAATTACTACATACAGTATGTAGTAATATTTAGCATACCACCAAAAGTAGGATTGTCTTTATATTGATGGTGCAGTTTAGACTGCAGTCGCCGTAACGAGAGGACACATGTACTTTATGGTGCATTGTATTGCATCACGTTGTGGGTTCAATTTTGACGAGTATTGTGAATTTGATTGTTTGTAAGCAACCACGACACGAGAGGAACCCCTTAGAGTAATCAATATATTGTTGAGAGAATCTCAGACCGTGCATGTACAGTGGCAAACAGATCAAGCTACTCCAATCTATTCATTGGATTTTCGACTTAATGTCAATACAATCAAGTTGACAGGCCAGCAATAGTGATGTTATTCCTAACAAATATTAGGAAATTGCCAGATCAAAATACTGATAAATGGTTTGCTGCGCGATCTGTTTCTGTTACAAGCATGCTAGCATAGAGTAAAGGGGAACGTGCAACGTGCTAGTCCACCCATCTGTAATGATTGGCTGCGTTTGACCGCTGCATGAAATACTAATGCTAATTTGAATTACTTGCCAATGTGTAGAATTAGGGTCTGCGGGCAACCTCGTTATTGAAGCCCGAAGCAGGAGTAGGGAGATGATATTTCCCCCCTCAAAAAAGTTAGTCCTTTGTAACATATTTTTCTAATCATAAAATTATCACGATATATACTAGCATTTAGGTTGCAGGCATGGTATTGGTAAGCGAGCTAGGGCGCCCTCAAGTTTTATTTCAGAGTGGTTAAACGTAAACATTCATGGAGTCTGGGATGGAAGCCGATATATGACAATAAGAACTAAACTCGTTACTTGGAGCTCGTACATGTATGAAATACGAGAGAAGTCTACGTCAAGGGAATAAAAACGTATAATGTTATGTATTACGAGAACATAATACTTTTACTTTCGTCATAATTTCTTTGTAAACAGTGAGCAGTGACCCCATTCCTCTCCTACGTCATGGGGTAACTTTGCGTTGGTTAGTAAACAAACAAAACTTTTAATATAGTTCATACAAATATTTGTTCCGATGCGGGGAATCGATTTCGTGACGGTAAACATTAGTAGCTGCAATATTACCAGGCTATTTAGATAAAAGATATTTTTTATTAGTTCAGAATTGCTTTTGATATAATTATAGCGTTTTTGATTATTATCCGTACTTAAATAGAGTAGATTCCGTGCAGAATATAGGCGATCAGCTGCTTGTAATGTATTGTGGCTTCGATACTCTCGCCTACGGCGGAAAAAGTAGGTAGTTACCTACTGTATAATTGGGTTTAATTTAGACTAAACAAACAAATTCTGCAGTGAACTACACCAACGATTTAACCATAAACAATATTTTAAATTCGCGCCTTAATAACCAACAGCCGCCATTGATGAATAAATTACCAATTACCTAATAAAAAAAGATGGCGGATCTAAAATTAAGTCAATGACACCCAGTTTTTTAGTCCATTCTGCCTAACAATAGACTGATAACTTTTTATCTTACTATGCGATAAAAATATTCCTACTGTTATTGAATTTTGGACTTTCTCACTCATGTATTGGACTGGGAACAGATAATTTGTTCTTTTTTTGTCGGACCTTTTATTACTAGGTACCCGTTGTGAAAACTCTTACGAGTCCTAGGTAGAACAAGAAATTGGTCTGTTTTTTCCTACCAGATTTTTAATCGCGCCTCGATCCGGTTGGATTGTTATCTTAATAAATTGTGTTCGATGCATAAAGAGAGCACCTGTGTTTACTAATATTATAAATCTTTCTATAAATAGAAGTATAGGTAATTGATAATGTAACCTCGAAATTCTGTTTCATAGGCGTAAAAATCAGGGTTAACCTGTATTCCTAAGACTAGGTAGTAATGTAGGATTGTCAATATTTTAATAATTATTTAGGTTGGCAGATTTTTTACAAACTCCGGCCAGTTTAGGACTAAGTAGTTATTGAGAGAAATTAGAAAACCAACTAAGTACACTTAATAAAGTTCAACGACTGATAACCGATTACTAAATGTAGTGTGACATTTGTTACGAAAAAATTCCATTGAACATTTTATCATAGGCTCTTATTTCAACTCCACACTTCGGTAAGAAATAGGTAAAATCCAGTCTTAGTATTCATTAAAATTAATACCTAGTAAATTTTTCACAAACGCTGCTGCTGTCAAGGCTATGCACGGAGAGCCCGATTTGAGTACCGGGTTCGATTACCGAATTGAAAAATTGATTTTTGGGCACTCATTTTGCTACTCATTTATTGGATGGTTTGGTTAAATAATACAAAATAGTGGCCCATTTTCGTGGATCTCATTAAACGAACCTGTTAAAATTCAGCCTGTATATCCTATTCCTCATCCATCAATACAAAGATGTTGCTGATTTATGCCTTTTCATGAAAAATATAGCCTAAAATTGTGTCCTTTTTTTTAAGGGGCGAAAATTATCGAATTACTTCTCCCGCCTGGGTGAGGCGGGAGGGAGTGTAAGACTCTTACTGACTAAAAACCACCCCGTTCCTACTTCTACACTTCGAGTCGGAGCCCCGGTAACCCGTTAGGTTCTCCGCGACTCCGTATCGGCATCTACCCTATTGGGCCCCATCATATATTGGTAGGTACCTAGGTACACATAGTCACTCTCCATCTCAACTCAACTTTTAAATTGGTAATTTCCAGATAAACCACCAATAATAAAAATAACATGTTGATTACCACTACAAAAGCCAATAAAACAAACATTTTTGCGAAAACATATTTATTATTTATGTTACATTTATCTTATGTATTACGATTATGACGTCATACCTATGAACGCAGCATATTAACTTAACCCTATGTGTTGAATTTCTACAACAGAATTTCAACTTTGTTATAAAGGACTACGCTTGAAAGTCTATTGGAGAAGTAAGACAGATTGATGTACGTTAACGTGCGGTTGTCTGAGGGGGTCTTAGAGGTCGCTTGGTATCGTGTTGCGTCAAGAAACTCGAGTAACAACGTGTCGCATCTCTCATTACTTTTGCTCAGCATTTTGTTACGTGAACTGGTTGTATCCGAGTATTGATAAACGATTGTAACTCGATCTTTTTTGCCTCAAGAGAATTAAACTGAGGTAAACTGTTGATACCTACACATACTGTGTGTACCTAAATATTAAGACATAGAAAAAAATAATAATTTTAAACAACAGGCTTTTAATCAAAATTAAAAATTGAAATCTCAACTAAACTTGAGTTGGTCATCATCATATCATCAAAACATCACGCCTTTTATCCCCGACGGGGTAGGCAGAGGTGCACATTACGGCATTTAATGCCACTCTACCTAGGTACCTAACATCCACTTCTCACTATTTATGTTATGTGTCCCATGTAATAGGGGGTAAGCCTATTGCCATATACCTACCGGGCACAATTCGAGACTTGGGTTGATGATAGAATATAAATAAACAGAACCTAAGATCAGCCATCGCTATTACGACCATTGACCATTTGGCGTTCCATAGTGTTTTAGCGGTCATGTCATAGGGCTCTAGTAAAATTATATGTACAATTTTATTATCGTCACCAAGCTGTCCACTCTTAAAAGTTTAGGTACTTACTTGCCTACGTTTCTTTTGATTTTTTACGGGATTCGGCAAACGAAGACGACGGACTGATCACCGATACCAAGAAACACACGCAACATTTGAGAAGTTGTAAATGCATTGCTAATATTAAAATGTTTGGTTGACGATGAGTTTTTGAATAGAATTAAATAGAATGTAAGTAATTTATTTCAAAGTATATGATAAGTACCTACATTGAGGTTTTACATTAAAATATTGTTTCACATACACTACCATTGCTGGCACAGAAATATTTAAAGTCTTCTTTAATATATCTGTGATAGCTGGTGTAGAAATAATATTATAAAAAAAATAGATTTGGTTTCGTGTATCTATCATTTGTAGTTAGGCTCCAGTATTGAGAAGAAAGCACAAAGTCAATACGGCAACGCCTACCGACTAAAAAGGGGAGGAAAAAATCTCTGAAAACTATCAGTTTTTATGACATCCAGACAATTTTATACATTTTATATGTAATGAACAAGATACTTACATTGTACCTTAGTTATTTAATACAAGTAGATAGGCACCCATTACTTAACTGAACTAGGCCTCAAGAAGTCAAGAACTCAAGACAGGAATATGGATACGATTAATGTTTATTCACGGCACAGATAAGAAATATTATCAATGGCACGATATATTACGTCCGTACACATCATATACATACCTATATACCATATAGGTATCTATTTAATATCTAGATGTATCAACTGAAGTACTCGTCTGTTGTAATATGATATTGTCTTATTTATTGTAAATACCTACCTACTTATATTGATTTCTGAACATCTCGCAATATGTTTTTAAATCACACAGTGGAATGTTTACTATTTATTTATTTCAATCGTAGAGATTTATGTACTTACTCTGTTTCCCGCGACTTCGTCCGTGTAGAATATGAATTTTAGAACATCACTTTTCTTTTGTTTAGTTTTAATTTTCCAAAATAACAGTAGCCAATGTTACTCCTTAGTACCTACATTATCTATCAGCCAATAAAAGTCTTGCAAAATCGTTGCAGCCTTTCCGGAGATTAGCCAGTACAAACAGACAGACAATACCTAATTGTAAAAAATGAGATTTTGTTGATGTGTATCGTGTATTCATATGCATGTAGTAAAAGCGGTTTTTTAATATTACAACCAGTCACTTCAATTTAATTTATCTGTATAGATGTCACTGCCTATATGGAAATCACTGGCGGAGGCCTATGTTTAGCGGTTGCACTTACGTCTTGTCGC